CCTGTATGTCTAGTCTAGTCTGGCCAGGGTGGGACTGACTGGCCATTTATAAGACAAGCTGGTGTTCCTCACCTGTTCTTTCCCTCCATGTAAATGACACAGCTGCAGAGGCAATGCTTTCAACTGAACATTATTTTTGTAGTAAGAATCGCATGGTATTACAATACAATTTTATTGTTTTAATTGTTATAGAGCTATAGAGACTTTAAAGTAACTCTAATTATGCTGTTTAATACGTGTGTGAGAGAGTAAATGTACTTCATCAAAATAGTGGTTCATCTGAAAATTTAAATACTGAAATGATAGCCATTAGTCCGAAATCCCTAAAAAATTTCAGTCTTACCATAGAGGCCTTCATCAAAAAACTACAGCTATTTTCCATCTAAACCTCACCTCACCATTAAGTATAACATCAACTCGATAATCAAAGCACAATCTTTCATCCACAGGTCACAAATCAGGTCTGTCCTCTCCTTTTGCTCTCTCCATTTGCTTAATGGCAACTTCACTCTTCTCTTGGGCCAGGCATCGAACCTTCTGCAGGATGACAAAGATTTCTCTGGTACTCCTTTCCTAAAGCACATGCTTTTGAAATCGGGTGATCTCAATTAGTGTGACACTCTTTTGGCATTTCCTCTCTTTTTCTTTGTTGTTACCTTAACAACAACCTCCAAACAAAATTAAGGCACACATGCATACAAAATAATTGCTGTAGCAACAAACAGGTAAAAAAATGCTAAATTTAATTTCCCCTTTGGTTGTTTTGGCAAGACGTCCCCATTCCTGAGGCGCAGTGTGAGTTCAGAGAACAGGCCGTCAATGTCCAGAAATAAACTGTTTGCTCATGTGTGGCTGCAATCAAATAGTTTGGCACCTTACTCTTTGACACAAGAGTTTTCTCTCTTTCTCTTTTGCTCTTTTTTCCTTATGTTTGTTTTTCTATTAAGCAAAAAACTATGTTGACAAGTGAGTTTTGTCTGTTATAGAACAATATTAAATTATTTTGCTTTATATTTTTGTTATTCAGAAACATGTTAGCCAATATTTAAGGGCAACTTTTTGGCAGGGTAGGCTTACTACACCTGCCTTTTGAGTCAAGGTCACAATTGTCTTGCTGTTACAGTTTACAAACTGTCAGAATGGTGTTTTTGGTGTCTGCAGACTAAAGAATAAAGCTTAATTTAAAACATAGCCACTATTTTTAGGGGGTGAGGTGAACTATGTAGTTAAGACCTTAAAATGGCAACAGTTTTCACAGAATCTATCCTTTCTTTGCCCCACCCCTACTACCACTACACTCCCCTTTTCCGTACTGTTGTGTACTCAGGAGACCTTCGTTCCACTGAAGGTGGAATAAGTTTTCGTTTTCCACTGTCTTCCACTCCCCCAGGCCCTCCCCTCCCACCCTCCTGGAAAAGCCCCCATTCAACTCTCACTAAGCGCCTGACTCAAGTGTGCTCTGACGTGCCCACATTCCTAGACAGTATCCCCAACACCGGAACTATTCACCGCCTTAGCCAGGAATGTAAATTTCCAGTCCAGGTTTTCATCAGGTTTAGGCAAAGAGAGTGCATTAGGAATTCACTGACTAATGCTTGACATTATAAAACACAAACTTTCCCTGTCATTTGTCTTATTCACAGAAAATAACATCAGTAAGCATTCTATATCTTCCTTGACAGATACACAATGCAGGTCAAAAAAGCTTATACTGTATATAAATTGTTTTTTTTTTATATTCTGAGTAGTAACAGTAGTTTGACATATACGGTATTGTGCTTTCATGTGTAAATGTGTTTTTTTAAAGCCAATTCATGGGCCAAATTCATCCAAAAGCCTCTAAATTGTCTAGCCAAACATACAAAAAAGGTCAGAGAGAGGAACCTATTAAGCAGCCCTCAAAAAAATCTACAGCAGTGTACATCATAATTGCAACATTACCAGCAGTAATCATCTGAGTGTGTAGCCTGTTGTTGTTGTTACATTTGCTATTACAAAGTAATTGTTAATCTCAGCACGAGTATATGACCCTGACTATTGTGATTAGGGTGTCGAAAGAAGCTGCATGACAAAAACACAGCATCACTATTTTCAATTATCTTGAATTTTACAGATGACACCTGTGTATGTTGTCATTAGTCAACACTGTCAGAAAACTATTTATTGTTAAGTTTAAGTTATTCTTTTTACTGACTAAAATGCCACTCAGGGATAACTAGTTAATGATCATATTATGATCTAAAATCAGAAAAAAAAATCACCTACTTATTGCAGCCCCAAGTGATTAGATAATATACTGCATAGCTCAGTGAAATTACGGTTAGCAATGTTAGCAGTTAATATCCTTGACTATTCCTTCTTATGCACATTTTTTCAAGGTAATTACTGATTAGATTATCTAGACACTAATTTAACTGAAGTGTAACTCTGAATGTATGATTCGTATGATGTCAGCTGGTATTAGCACTAGTATTCACCACTCTTATCAGATAAATAAATAAATGAATAAACGTTTGTTGTTTACTTTAATAAACTACAAGAACACATGGAAAATTATTATGATTTATTATTAATATTTATTTCATGTTTAAAAGGTCCCAAAACTGAACGTGTACACATATTTTCCAACATGCACAAAATATAAAACAATTTAGTAGATTAAAACGTTCTTCTAGCTCGTTTTAATAATTATATTTATGAAAGCCAATCATTGGTAGTTTAAAGCTCAGTTTGAAAGTACTTCAAATGTCCTGTCTGCACAGAGCTCTACCTTCTAACATTCAGTCCTTCATCACAGCTGTTTTAACATATCAAATCCCTGTTACCTTCTTCAAGCTCAGACAGCTGTGGGGGCAGATACTACACAAAAATGTATTTGGTCATTCAGAACACAAGGCCTACTGTCTAACAGCAATTCCCCTAGCCCACTCCAACCTCCAACTATACCCATATTGTAGGTAGATTTAGAGCAATCTAATGACAAACTAACAAATTGACACATTTCTAGCTTTTGCTACTATGAATTTAAGACTAACCAAACAACTCGGTCTATATTATAAAAACAAGTCTTCATTATAGTAGTAAAGTACCCATGCTCCAGGTTAAATGTAGATGTTCATGGGAAAGTCACATTTCATTATAAAAATGTTTACGAATGCTCTTGACCTAACTGTGTGTCATTCAGGCAGATAGTGAGCCCACTGACAATTGCAACAATTCCAGTTGCAAATACAGTTGCATCCCTCACCCAGTCACAGAACAAGGCAGCCTCTGAGCTGCTCAGAGAAGTAGGTCACCGAGGATTCCATTCATTTGTACACCGCTTTCAAAATAGTTGCACTTTTCCACTCAGCCTTATTCTTCCAGCTGCATGTTAACCCTTTATTGGCCTTAATTTCATGTCCATAATTTTAGTGCCACAAATTACAGTTGTTGTAACTTAGCATTAAAATAGGTCTTTGTGGTATGTGAAATGTCATATTTATGTTTGTGGCAATGTTAATACACAATTACAAGTCAGTTGTTTGCTTGTGATGTCTTTATTTCAAATGCCCAAACACCTATTCCAGATTAAAACTTCAGTTCTGTTTCAATTACGTTTTACAGCATGTATCTACTGACAGATGGTTAAAGGTTCAGATGATCAATGTGATGTGTTTCTTGAAAAAACCCTAACATCACTAACAATTTTAATCATGTAAAGTGATTGATTAATTAATCAGTCTTACCCTTTTACAGAAGCATTTGGACAAGCTGCCACAACATACCATTGAGATCACATAACCAGACAACCTTCACTATCCACCTCTATCCAGCAACATGTGTCCTGACAAAGTCTACACTACAGTGCTGAAACAGGCCTACTGACTCCATCTTATTTAGCTGAATCAGCTGAGGGAAAAAGCGACTGTACGCTGACACAGGTTTTGGAAAACTAAAGGGCGTGGCTTAGTCTGGATGTACAGAATTCAGGCTCCATAAATTACTGTTGGGCTGATAGGACAGACATATACATAATTACCATTAAAGAATGTTACCTTCTTAATTCTCATATGTGCAATCACAAATATACATATACATATATATGTATGCATATACATATATAGATATAGATATACTGAATAGGAATAATCATTGTTTTTATTGTTACCTAATACACAATCTACATCAAACTTGAAAATCATATCAATGACCAAAGATATGGGTGTTGGATGTGCTATAGGAGATAAGATTTGCAAAAGTAACTTTTTTAACTGTAATGAGGCAAGTTGTATCCACCATTATGTGAATTGCATTGCTAATTGCAAATAATTAGCAAAAATCCCCAATTCCATCTCAATTTCTAACCATGACAGGACAAACCTGTTGTCACTGTCACCATAGCAATGGAATATCTTTTGGCCCTGAAAATACAGCCAGTATGTGTTGCCATAGGTACACAGATGCCTACTTGCTTTCTCAGCAGTAGCAGCACTTCATTCTTTCTGTCATTAGCCAGGTCAGCCCAAGGGTTTTGTTTCCCTGGCCACACTGCAGTCTGATGCAACAAAACTCAACCAGAGCCCCCATCAAACACCCTGACAAAATACCATCCCAGGGAGTGCTCAGGCACTAGCACACTGACTGACTGAAACTCTGTGCCAGCTAAACTAACTCTATACATGACTCCAGCCTTCTTCCATAATCGTTTACTTACTGGCAAATGTTCAGCCCAACAATGTGCATCATTTTATTTCATATTTCATATTTATCAGTGATTCAGCTCTTGATACTGGAATTGCTGGATCAGGAAGTGTAAGGTAATGCTTGTGTTGAGCCTTGAAGTGATGAACATTTAGGAAACTATGCCTTTTATAAGTTGTCAAAAATGACCTTTAGTTAAGTCCACAATATTGAGCGCAGCGTCTGAATTTATTGAAGCAAATACTAGAACTAACACATCAAACATTTCTATGACCCTGTATGTGCATTTCTCGTTTCTGAGTATTTGGGTGTCCTACCTGGACTGTTTGCCTCTCCCTCCAGGACCTGCAGTTCAGTGCATTCAGCAAGGGAGTGCTCCAGACAAAGCTGCAGGAAGCGGGCTTGGGTCCGACTAACCCTCTTCAGCAGGGACAGCAGAGCCACTGTCTGCTCGCACTCATTCCACCCCTTAAACCAGCTGGCTAGGACACCAACTTGATCACGAAACATCATGGTCTGAGAAGTGGGGAATAGGCAGACTGACTTTGGTGGTACTTAGCTGGAAAACAGATAGCAACCAACTCGTACACAGAAAGGAGGGATTCTTTTCACTGGATTGTCGATTTCATTGAAGGTGTGGACTGTAAAACTTAGCTGAAGTTCTTTACTGCTATTCTAAGCTTGTCAACATAGGCTGAGACTTCATTACAGGAGCCTCTGCAAGGGTGTTAACTGTCAAAATTTGGCTTGCCCACAGTCAGTCTTTGTCAAATTCCTCCTGGAGGAGTTTCTGCCTGTTTTCCTCTTTTTGATACTTTCCTCAGTGGTGGTGACAGTGATGGAGGGTGGTGTTGGTAATGTGCTCTTCTAGCAAGACAGAAGATACAAGCTGCTCTCAGATGCTTAGTCAGAGGGATTGATATTTGATGAGTCAGCTTTCTTCCAGCACACGCTGTGACACATCAGCTTCAGTCTCACTGGCATTTTTCTTCAGGGAATCCCTGTCAGGCCTGTGGGAGGACATTATATGAAGGGCATAGTTAACATCGGGACAGTTTTTCTGTTAACTTAACAAAATCCTTAAACAGCCATGCGAGAGTGGTGAGTCGCTGTTGCTTTAGCTCTGTGGACTTTATGCTTCTGCTGCTGCCTTTGCGAAGCCTTGCCTTCAATAATTCATACATGCCTCTTTGCCGTCGCCTGTGCACACAGGCTTGTGGCATTCACCGCCGAGACGAAAATAAATATATTTCGTTTTTTGCTATCCACCCAGTCCTAAAAATACAACTGTCGGTAATTCTGGCGCTGCATCCCGGAATTTTCCAAAGAGAGGAAGCCGGGGTTACCGACGTCCGTGTGTGTGTGTGTTGCAGTACGATTTTAATGACAGGTTCAAGCTGCGTTTAAAACCGAGGGCAGGGGCTACCGATGAAGCAGCCTGCCCTTGGTTAGTGAGTCAGTCACTGACTCAAGTGTGAAACTGTAACTTTGCTTCATCAGCATATATATATATATATATATATATATATATATATGTGTGTGTGTGTGTGTGTGTGTGTGTGTGTGTGTGTGTGTGTGCGTGTGTGGCCATGTAGTTCGAAAGGCGTAACTTGCAGATACTTAAAAGTAAAAGACAGTATTAACAGCTGCACTTAAAATAGAAAAACTGAAATATTTTCGCTCACATTTTGCGTAATTTTTTAAAAACGGTTTTTAATTTTGGCAGAATGCAGATATATATATATATATATATATATATATATATGTGTGTGTGTGTGTGTGTGTGTGTGTGTGTGTGTGTGTGTGTGCGTGTGTGGCCATGTAGTTCGAAAGGCGTAACTTGCAGATACTTAAAAGTAAAAGACAGTATTAACAGCTGCACTTAAAATAGAAAAACTGAAATATTTTCGCTCACATTTTGCGTAATTTTTTAAAAACGGTTTTTAATTTTGGCAGAATGCAGGCTATAGAAGCTCTAGAATCAAATAGAGTGAAAACAACGATCCACAGGTTGAGAAAGTTAAGTAGAAATATTTGAAAATGTTGACGGTTAGAAGCGGCGGGTCATACCTGTTGGCGCAGTTCGAGTGGTCGGCTTCGTGTCAGTATAGGTACGGGCGACAGGCTCAACTTCTTTTATGAGTAGGGGAGCGGTTCCCCTTAACTGAGGGATTTGCCATCTTGACCAACTTTTACTCCGTCTGTCTGACTGTCTCCCTCCACAGCAGACGGCGCTCCAATCTAAACGACTAAGTCAAAGGACAAGCAAGACGCCGAAACACCTCCGTTTGGGATTTTCAAAATAACACCTGGACTTCCTCGGCTACCCAGCCCATCACTATTTAAATGAACGAAAAAGATTCTCTCAAAACGGTTTCACATTATTAATCTCTTAACCAGATTGCAAACGTCGGCCAAACGACTAAATGAAAACGTTATATATGACACTGAATGCTCGTATAAATAAAGTTAAAACCAATAGTAAATGTGCAACGTTATGGTAATTTCTTCACAAATCAACCTTTTTTGCAATCAGGCATAAAAAAATAAATTCTGCCTTATTCGTAGAGGTCCTCATGGTAATAGAAATATTTGTAAAATTAGATGTGTAGAAAGTCAAAGCAACAGTCGTAGGAGTAGAAAATATTTTTGAAGTAGACAGCATAAAAACATAAGGGGTAGTAGTAGCAGCAATATTCATATAGATATACTGTACATACAATAAATTGACGGTGGCAGTACGAGTAGAAACAGCATGAGCGGTAGTCGCAGTTGTGGTATCTGGAGCACCTATAAAGTAGATTTTTAGTCACCAATTATTTGGTACTGTTGGCGTTAATGGTTTGCCATGCTTCTATTTTGAAAGTGCAACCAGACGATTTCTGTATGAGATCCTACCCACTGCCGCACAGTGTCTCCGGCTGCTCGTTTCCACATGCTAATCATTAACAGTGGAGCATTACGTCAGGGGCTTGGCAGCGCGAGGAAGCACCAAAATAGAGGGACTGTTAGGGCGAGGGGGTTAAAAAAGGGGGTTCCGTAAAAATAATCGAGAAAATTACTCCTTACCATACTTCAGTCCCTGTTCGCATTAACGTTACTGCAATAGAATAGAATATTCAAGAAAAAAAATCAAACATGAAATTCAAAGGTAAATTAAAATGTATATATTTTTTGAAAAGAAACTAAAGCGAAAAATCTACAGAAATGTTACATTTTTGTGCCATCTAAAGCTATAGTGTCTGTATGTAATATATATATATATATATGTATATATATATATGTATCCCTGAATTATACATACCTTATATACAAGTTAACAAAATATTTTTATTAATTGATATTGATGACTATTAATTGAGATATAGCTTGAAATTAAATTAGCTTACTATGTGTTTTACTGCAAATATTGAAATAAGATCCGTGCAAAAATGAAAATGAAGGGCTCCCAACATGTAACTATACATAAAGGACTTGTTAAAGACTTGTAATTATGTCGCCTAATAGTGCTGTGTTCATAAATAAGAGAATACCACCCTCTGCTGACAATAAGGCTTCGTTTTCTTTGCCTTATGTTATCTGGAATTTCTTCCAGCTTTTCAGCCCTCAATTCTTCAAGTATCATAGTAATAATATCTTAGAAATCCTTGTTGCGTAGATGCAACACTAATGGGATATAATTAATGTGATGTTAAAAAGGGAGATAGTATGTTCTGAAATAAATATTAGAATACCAATTACATTATTTTAACGGTTTTGCAAATACTTTTTAAAACAATTAAAAATTAGCACACATAGGTGTCCCGGGTGACAGAACAAACCACTCCTTTTTCATTCTTAATTTTGACTTCTGGGACACTGCTCGTGGTGCATTTGCCGTTTGCTTTCCAGAATGTAATAACATTGTTGTTTGGTACATGTACGAATTAACAGCCGAGGGTTAATGGCCTTAAAACATAATTTATTTTGAAAATGAAAAAACGGCACAGTGTAGGAGGTGAACAGACTTACGACTTCTGTTTATAGAAGAAGCGGAAGTTGATCATGTTTTGCCTCTACTTCCGGTAACAGCCCTACTGCGTGAAATACCGAACGTAAACTTTGTGTCATTATATATAGATATTTATTTATTAATTAATGAATTTTGATTCATTTGAATACTTTGGCTTTCAAGCCTTTAAAATGTACCCTCATATTTTTTAAATAAATGTATCTACTAATACCCGTCGCCTGCCAGGTAACAATCAGGGAATAGCTGCTCCTGTTTACTGTTTCCGTGAAGATGGCCGACAGCGGAGGAACCGCTGCTGTGAGAAGATGCGACTCCGGCTCAGTTTCCTCTATCGGTATGGACACCATCTCTGCGCTGACAGAGCTCGAAGACCTGGAGCGAGTTTACCAGCAACTCTGCGACGGGGAGGTTTGTTTAAGCAGCCGGAAATTGTGGTTATGGTTAAGTCGTCATCTTCCACGTAAAACATCCGGGTTCCCAGAGACTCAAAACACGACAGATGAGTTTGTTCAACAGATAATTTAAATAGAAAACATATTAATGACACATAAAAGCTCATCTGATGTATTTTATTGAGTGCTGTGTAGATGTAGAATGTAGCAAAAACTAGGAGGTACTGTCCTCGGAATTCACTCAACTCAGTGTTGACATGTTAGTTACCTCACATTATTCAGTGGCACATAACAACAAGCCCACCTGTCATTATAATTGGACACATAATGCTGCATTCTGTCTCTATGGTTTTTATCGGCAGTATAATACACTATATTTGTTTGTTCTTTTTGTAATTCTGAGTGTAACTTTTGTTACCAACAGAAAGAAGTGGAAGCAAAGCTGGACAGACTGGTTGCACAGGAGGGGAACATTCATACAAAGATGTTGGCTCTGCAGAGAATGGGGTACAGTTTTTAGACATTACAAGAGCTAAATATTCTCATGATCACACCACATCTATGTCTGAAGAGTTTATGATCAATGGTCCCATTCACCCTTCAGGCCCAACCTACAGCTGATTGGAGGTGATGCCTCTCAGTTGTCAGGCATGATTACATTTACCTGCAGCCTAGCTGAAAATGTGAGCCGCAAAGTCCGTCAGCTTGACCTGGCAAAGGTAAAAAAAAAAACTATTTACATACAATTTATTTTCCATCCATCCATCTTCATCCGCTTATCCGTTACCGGGTCGCGGGACAATTTATTTTATTAATATTTATTTCCCAAAATATATATATCAAGCCACAAAGACAACAAGCAGTACTGACTGTATCTTAGCATGTTCTTAACTCCCCAAATCGTCTGAACCCAACGCCAACCATTAGTGTGATATTGATCTGTTTTTTTCTTAATGTATGTTTTTTTTTTATAGACCCGACTGTATAACGTGATTCAGCGTACTGACGATATCCTTGATCTGAAGTTTTGCACCGATGGTGTACAAACAGCTCTACATAACGAAGATTATGAACAAGCTGCTGCTCACATCCATCGATACCTTTCTCTGGACCAGTCTGTCATTGAGCTGAGCAGACAGGGAGAAGAAAGTACAAAACCTATTTCTCATTAATTTACATCTAACTTTACATTTAAGTTTAGTTGTTACATAGCAATGTTAGGGTCTTTGGTGTCTGTGATAAGATTAAAATGTAATACCGTGTCACTACATAACATTTCAATTTATCCATATGTTTGTATCTGAGTCTATTAGAGCAAGACTTTTACAGCAACAAACATTTTAGCTTTATTATCATCAAGTCTTTACAAGTTAATAACAGAGGAAATGTATTGTTTACAGCTTACAAAAAAGTGTCACTGTAATGCAAATTACTGGAGTGTAAAAATCTAACAGTTTGTTGTACAGTCACACTTACAAAAAACATCACTGTAAAGGCGTTTTTCTCTCCAAAGGCAGTGCTGTGGATGCCAGTCTGGTCCTGCTGCAGGAAGCGGAGCAGAAACTGAAGGTCATTGTTGCTGAGAAACTGGATGAAGCTGTAGCAGCTGTTGACCTTGCACAGGTGGAAAGGTTTTTCAAGATCTTCCCACTGCTTGGTCTTCACCAGCAGGGCCTCGCTCGCTTTGGTCAATATCTCTGCAGTCAGGTCAGTAGACACATTAGTCAAACTCAGCTGTCTGAACAGATTGCACATTTTGTTAATGGATCATTTTTATCAGGAATATGGAACATAATAAATGTAAAGTTAACAAAAATGCGCTGTTTTATGCAAATCATGACATCAAGATGTAAGCTTATATTTTACTCCCAAATTGCATGTATACTTTATCATAAGTCCAGATTACATTTACAAAAAAATGTTGACGTAATATTTAAATGACAGGTACAGCAGTTTTTGGGAAGTAAACATTGTCACACGTGTACTTAACTTTTATAAAGTTTTTAAGTTGGTTTTGCCTTACTGTCATTCCTTGTGCCAATTTCCCTGTAAATTTCCTAATTGTTCTGTGTTTGTTTGTATACATTTTCACACACAGCTTGCCTCTAAAGCTGAGGAAAACCTAATATTAGCAACAGGAGGAGACTTGGGTGAGAAAAGGGCACAGCTGATATTTGCTGACACTTTGACTCTGCTTCTGGAAGGTGAGAGCAAATGCTTCAATCTTACTGTTGTGCTTCTCTGTAGAATTTTAGAATCCAATCTGTAATGCATATCATAATAGACAATTTGAAGTTGAAATGAGCTCAGTCAAGGTTGTTCTCTGTAGCAGACTCCTCTGAAGCTCTGCTGTGTGTCCACAGGCATTGCTCGTGTTGTTGAGACTCATCAGCCCATTGTAGAGACGTACTATGGTCCTGGACA